TAAACTGCAATTTTTTTTCAAACAAAAATACACAACATAAGAGCTGCAAGATTTCATAACTACTGAAATTAGGTATACACCAGAGATGCAATATTTCAGAAAAAAGCATGATTTTTTCGTAGGTACTAGCTAGTCCACAAGTAAGAACTTTTGAGTAACAAACAGGTTCCATTCCAGAAGGCTTTTTGCGAGTAAATTTTTCTGCCCAAAATGAGGCATAGCCTAGCATAGTGGCAAAGCAGGGAGTTTTTTAGACACTCCCTCAAGTTCATTTTTGAGTCCTATAAGTAGACCAGTAAAGTATCCTGGATACCAGCTTCATCATACATAAGAAATTGGTTTAAATCTTGGGTAAATGAGGAAATTAAAAATGAACTGATTCTAAAAAATCTCTGGTTTGTCACTATGTAGCCTAGTTAGGCCCTATTAGCTACGGTATGTTTTTGTTAGGCACTTTGAAAAAAGTTAGGCTTTTTGCAACAATTTCCATAATACAAATGTGACACAATCTTTCACCCACAGGCCACAATTGTTGGAAAATAATCCCAATGTTTCAGATTTGCAATGGACAAAATTCCCCACTTACAGACCTAATCTTTGCTTACAAAGAATTTATAACAAAAATTTGAACCAGATAAGGCAATTGAAAATAAACGGAGCCTAAAACTTACCCGTTAGCCACTATACCGGGCATGAATACAAGAACATCCTAGGAATAGGCTAGGATAAGAAGAGGTCTACTGTCTACATAGTATAAAATTAGCTCTAAACTCTAAGCCGTTATTCGAGATAGGTACTCACGTGCCGATTTGGGGGCAGGTTTATCTGTAAAGAAAAAAAGAAATATAGAATTACTATTAAAATAATGAAAGTAGGATGAATTGAACAAATATTTGAATGTTGAAAATCTTACTGACTCACAGCTCACGCATCACTTCCAGAAAGTTGAATAGAACTTAGGTAAGTTAGGTATACTACAGTCTTACTGTGTCCTACCGCTGTGTCTAAACTCGTATACACAAATTACTAGCAGAATCTAGCATAATTATCACATCATCGTTCCAAAGCTTAAAAAATAAAAATTATTAAATTTAATAAGTCATCATACCTTTAGGAGGCATTTTGTTTATATTTTGACGGTGTAAGAAGCCGAGCAGCGGTTCTTCACCACGACGAACAGAGAGTCAAAACACTGTTCACTCTGAACCAATCTCACAATTTGCGCTCTGAATCCTAGCATTGGAAAGTTTACATACATCCAGAAATTATTATTAATTTTATATTCACGCAAAAACGAGCGCTTAAAATCGTTCAGATTAGTTTCTGATAATTAAAATTCATAATATTCTATGCATATGAGTATTATATTTATTGATAAAGAAAATCTGCATATGCAAATGATGGCATCAAGAGAAGTCAATTACTTATCTATAACTTATATTTTATTTATCGGATGTTTATACGGTTAATCCATGTAATTTCCACGTCAATTGCCCTAATATGCCTTAAGTCCATTGCACGTGACGGAGCTGAATCCGTAAAAATGTCTATTTTGTTATTCTAGATTTCACAGATTAGATAAGGAACGAAATGTTATGCAATTGATCCTGTAAGTTTGCATGCAATTGATCCTGTAATTATTTTTATAGTGAAACTATGTAGTTATTAGAACCAATCCTAGTTTTCCCCAATTTGAACCATTCGAACTAATCTTAGATTAACCTCCCAGACACTTTCACGGCCGGTATCAACGTTTCGGTGAACCAAGAATATCTCCCAAACTGACAAGCATTGCTCGATTAAACTTTGCACAAACGTTCAGCGGGACCTAACGGTGATGTTTAGGTTGTGATCATTTTTTAGATTTCGCCTACTTTTTCGAGTATATGATAGTACAGTCCAAAATTTGATGTGAACCCAATATATCTCTTATATTACTTAATACATTTGAAAGAAACTTTTATTATACATTCCTATTCAGTTAACATTGATGTTTAGGTCGTCAACATTTTTTTCTATTTCACATTTGCTTGCGAGTAATACGACTATACGGAGAAACGACTGGCATTACTGTGGCCCATTTTAAAATTTCCCAGTAAGCCTAAAATATCTCCCAAGCTAACTAACGCTGCTCTGTTAAACTTCATATATGTATTTAGTTGTCTATAATGGTAGTGTTTAGGCAGTGATATTTTTTTCGATTTTCCCTTTTGCTTGCGAGTAATACGACTATACGGAGAAACGACTGGCATTACTGTGGCCCATTTTAAAATTTCCCAGTAAGCCTAAAATATCTCCCAAGCTAACTAACGCTGCTCTATTAAACTTCATATATGTATTTAGTTGTCTATAATGGTAGTGTTTAGGCAGTGATATTTTTTTCGATTTCCACTTTGTTGCCAGGTTTTGCGGTAATTTGTGTTCAAAAATATACTGTAGGATAGAAGATATGACACGACATAACCTAACATAGTGATGTCGGCGCTAAAGAGTGGGCCTAATGTGGCCTGTCGCCGATTCTTGAACTTTTCGTGACTTGTTGAGTAGTAGTAGTAGTATGATGGTTTACTAGCGCTTCAGCTATGGAGCTATTTCGCGCCGGAGGTCATAATATAACATCGCCAGCAAGGCGGAAGGTCTCAATTATTCAAAATCTCAAGTTAATCATCACCCACAAGGGGCGGAAGGTCTCAATTGTCCAGCCCGCTGAAGCTGGCTCGAAAGAAGCAGCGTTAGCATCTCAAAGAGACGAAGTGACAAGGAGGGACAGGTGAAAAGCAACAGAAACGAAGACACTCGAACAAGAGGTCGCTTACAAGGGACGTCGGCCGCCCGCACGAGAGAGACAGAGAAGGGCAATGTAAGGAATACTGCCTACATAATAACTTAATGTAAGGAAACCTACCTACATAATAACTTAACCTCACAACTGAGTCCTGCAGTCAGACACCGCGAGCTCAACGGTGGGGCGCTCAGGAACAATCCCCCTAGGAGCGCGAAATCCCATAGGACTTCTAACGTGACTTGTTGAGAAGATCTAAAATCGTGTCATTTGACCGGATCTTTCTATAGACTGACGATAGTTTGAAATATTTACTAGACTTCGACCGGGTTCGATATGGTGCTAGGCATTTCAAATCTGAACATATATTTTTCCATAGCTTTATCTAGTCTGTTCTTGAACGCGCTCATCTCGGAGCGCCAACGATGTAATCGGGGAGGCTGTTCCATATGTCGGTGACTCGAAGCGAGAAGAAATTTTGTCGCATGGATAAGTTGCAGCGCAGTTTTTTTTCAGTTGATAGCCGTGGCCCCTGGTGCTGGTTCTTGTTTCAAATTCTAGTAATCTTTCTGGGACCTTGTGTAAACCATGAGTATACTTGTATACTTCAATGAGGTCCCACGCAGACATTGATAACCGAGGAGCGGAAGCTTCATAATAGGTTTTGCGTTTGAGTTCGCAGGCGGGTCCGGAGAAGTGTCGATTCAGTCGTTATAGCCTAATAAACGAGTGTGCTTCGAGCTACGTTAATTAGTTTGAAAGATATTTGAATCGCTGAACCTTGAAGACCGGCCGTATAAGTGTCTGAGAGGTATTCCGAACATTTAATATTTGACGTAATAAAATTGCTTATCATTTCTAAATAAACGTCTATTTTCAATCGAAAAAATCGTCCAAATTAAAACCGTCATTCTTTAGATCAAAATTATTTAGATCGAAAAAGTAAATATTAAGCTAATTTCAATCACAAATGCCCATTATATTAAACAACCATGATTGTCAACCGTATTCAAGCTTCCCAATCGCAAGCCATTTTAAAAGCATAAGTTTCAAAGCTTTACGCGCTCATACTTCACCGGCACTAATGCTTAATATCTATTGGCACGTCCATACTTTAGGAAGTAATAAATTCTAAATAATTATTTCATGTCAGACTGATGTAAATGTCTCTATCTTTTCTATTCAGTCGTATAGAGCGCTTGAAGGTGTCCCCTTGACTGAACACCAACAGGGTTTAGTTCACACACCGCAGTTGACAATCTGGAACATACATTAAAAAATAACTCACTACCCACTGCAGTGAAAGAGAGAGCGCATTTTCTCAAAATCGACGAAAACGTGAAGTCACGGACAGACAGACAGACGGACATGACGAGCACAATATCGCCTTTTTTCCACGAATGAGAAAATGCGCTAAGAAGACAAAAACACTCAAACGAAAGTAATAATCATGGTAAAAAAACATCTAAAAGATAAAAAAATAACGTGCCGGTGAACTGTCCGAGTCAGTGATGAACTCTGGGTTTGAGAACTCGTCGTGCGGTGTTATGGGGCGCTGTTCTCGTGCATCAGCCAGCGATGGCTTTTTGTCACATTTTTTTCGTTAGTGTGTCTATATTTTCATTTAAAATGCTCCTTTTTTCGTTTCCTATTTATATTTCATAGTCTTTTTAAATAATTTCTAGCACAATGCATTCAAATGATAATTTTTGTAACAAAATGCCGACCAATTCGATAAAATGTGGCTTGAATTCCAGTTTTATTCCATAATTAGTCATTAGTTACTTGAATAAAATCATAAATAAAGCCATTAGTCCCACCCCCTGCAGCGGAGTATTTTGTTCAATAAGTTAGTTACGTTTGTATCATATGAATAACAATTAAATATAATCTTAAAACTTATTATTTCTTAGTAGTCGTTTTAATAATCAATCTCAATTTTTTTTTTGTTGTTACCTAGAAAATTTAACTGGCAATCCTACCCATTAAATTTGCCACAAAAATTATATTATACATAGGCCACAATTCTATAAATACTAGAAAATTTGTAGGTTGCACTGCCAAATTAAATTTTCCTTTTCAATACTTTGCAAAAGACAAAAGGTTAATACCCACATAATAAATTTTTACTAGCCAACGCAATTAAAGAAAAAAAAATAGCGGAATTTTTCCAAAAAATACCATATTATTTTGACAAGGCTTTAGAAAAACAATGTAAAATATTATTGTAAAATATATCCATTAGGGAAACTTCGCAGCTTCATTGAACAAGGGTGACAAGGAGAGATGGATACCCATACAAAAAATACAAGTTTGTACTAGCTTAGAATAAACTGTTTTAAACTGTAAAATAAACGGTTCTCAACTGTAAACAATTCCAAATTATATCCAACAGAGTTCTGATCAAAAACTATTAATTAAATGGCTAAAATATGAACTGGCAGCGCTATCAGAAATTTGTTATGGCATCATGATGACAGAAGAAAATCCTATTGACTCAAACAATGCTGACGTGTTTATTGAAAATTCATTTATTAGGTTTAAGACTTAGGAATAACTGTGATATATTACACGGTGATTCTTTCGCACGTAGCAGCCCCAGGCCACGCTATATATACCCACATACATCATAAGAACTAATTATAATTAATTCAAAAGAAAATGTCAATTCATTCAATTTAAATTTTTCTCGTGATGGTGTCTTAACGTAACTCAAAACAAATGCAATAGTTAAGAAAAAGCTCAATATTTTCAACTATTCACTGAAAGAAATAAATGTTTCATACTGTTTAAATAGTGACACACTCTGCACGTAGCACCGATACGTCATTTTCGCGGATCAAACTGGGTCAGGATGGCTAAAAAGTGTATTGATATTTAGCCAAAGTCTCATTGTTTTCTTTGAGTGTAAAATGATATTCTTACAGAAATTTACTACTTCAATGTTGCAAAATAAATATTTTTCAAAGTGACGTAGACAAAATTTGCTGTTCCTTGTGACTGTACATAGCAAGCAGGACTGCAGGCGCCATCTGTCCTGTGAAAAAAAGTTGCAATTACCATCAGAAGAAAACTAATTACATTTCCTTAGAAATTAGGTGAAAAAATTAAACAAAATCAAATGCTTTCGTACCAAACAAGAGTTTATATATTTTAGCCCCGAAATAAACATGTTGAGGTTGAAAATAACCTGCGGCTGGGTTTGATGACAGGGTTCAACTTCATCTTTTTAACCCTCAAAATAAACCTTTTGTTTAGGTTAAAAAAAAACCTGCGGCTGAGTTGATGACAGGGTTCAATTTTATCTTTTTAACCATCTGAAATAAACCTCTTGTTTAGGTTGAAAAAACCCTGCTGCTGTTTGGTACGACAAAGTTCAACTTCATCTTTTCAACCCCCCAAAATAAATCAAATTCTTTCGTACCATACAAAAGTTTATATATTTTAGCCCCGAAATAAACATGTTGAGGTAGAAAATAACCTGCTGCTGGTTTGGATGGCACGGTTCAATTTCATCTTTTTGACCCCCAAATTAAACCTCTTGTTGAGGTTAAATAAAAACCTGCGGCTGGGTTTGATGACAAGGTGTGGGTATGTGGGTAACTTCATCTTTTCAACCCCCTGAAATAAACCTCTTGTTTAGGTTGAAAAAACCCTGCTGCTGTTTGGTATGACAAGGTTCAACTCACCCACTCCTCTGCCCTCCACATAGCCACGGGATCTCTTCAAATGGCCTCCACTTCCCACTTGCACAGCGAAGCTGAGGTCTTACCCGTGGCCGGACACCTCTTTCTCTGCTGTGCTCACAGTTCCTTGCCAGCGCCCTTCGACCACACCATCCCAGCTACCCCATCGTCACCCAGACATCGGGGCCCCGTCCTATGAAGCACACGCTTCAGTCCCGCGTCCTCCCTTCAGTCTCTCACCTGCTGGAAGAGGGATCCCTCCCCCCCAACTCCTACCCCACATTCCTCAGGACCCTGCACAGCTCTGCTGTCTCCTCTTACCTGTCCTAAGCAGCTCCTAACGAAGTGCTGCTGACTGCTGACCCCTGCCCCCACTGTCTCATCCAGCGAGCTATCCCTGCCCAGGGCGGCCAGAAGCGCCCTTTCCCAGCTCCGCTCCGGCTACTCATCGCGGCTCAACTCATACCTTGCCCGCATCGGTGCAGCTAATAGCCCTCTCTGCCCTGAGTGCGGCACTATGGACCACACCACCCATCACCTCTTCAGCTGCCCATCGCACCCATCACCTCTTCAGCTGCCCATCGCACCCATCACCTCTTCAGCTGCCCTTCACACCCCACCTCGCTGACCCCACTGGACCTCTGGTCTAACACTGGAACGACTGCAGCTTTCCTCTCGTTGCTCCCATCCTTCACCGACATCCTTGGAGCGGAACCCCCGCTCCCTCCCCCTCCCCCGGAGCCGCATGCCTCTTCGTGGGCGCCGCCGAGCAATTAACAACTAGGTTCAACTCCACCTTTTCAACCACTCACAATAAACCTGCTGTTGAGGTTACATAAACCTGCTGCTGCGTTGGATGACGCGGTTCAATTGAATCTTTTCAACCCCCCAAAACAAACCTGCTGCTGGGGTTGGATGACAAAGTTCAAAATACATTTTTAACCCCCAAAATAAACCGGCTGTTTAGGTTGAAAAAACCATGCTGTTGGTTTGGATGGCACGGTTCAAATTCACCTTTTTAACCCCTTAAAATAAAATTTGCTGCTGGGTTTGACGACAGGGTTCAACTTCATCTTTATAGCCCCCTTAGAATAAACCTGCTGTTGGGGTTGTAACAAAACAGCAGGGGTTGTACTACCCTCAGATCCTGCCGGCGTGCCTGAGGGCCTCTATCAAAGAGTCGACGCTGTCGACGGTGACCCCCGCCTGCCGCGTGGGCGGGTCGCTCACCGCCACCACCGCCAGGTGCTGCCGCAGCTCCACGCCCACGTCACCCAGGCTCAGCTTGTCCAGCTTCTTCTTCTTAGCTTTCTGCACGACGCGATAACGGTACAATAAGGGCAGACTAACGGTAAAACAACGGCTTAATAACTGTACAACAACGATACAATAAGGGCATCCTAACGGTACAACAACGGCTTAGCAACGGTACAACACCGGTACAACAACGGCTTAGCAACGGTACAACAAGGATATAATAACGGCATGATAGGGTGTCACCGGACGGTCACCTCTACCTTTAAACTTGTCAGAACGCTCTGAGCTCCACAGTCAAACGCCAGCAACTATCTGGTATAAAGTTCAATTGCGCTTTATTGCACTGAGATGTCCATTAAAACTTCGGTAACACGGATAAAACGTAGTTTTATTTCAGCAAAGCACAGTTTAAAACAGGCACGGTTAAAGATTAAACTAGAGTGACATCAGGTTCATGATAGAGGACCCACCACCACCACCACAGAGGACCCCCCACCACCACCCACCATGATGTTGGGCAGGGTGGCGTAGCGCGGTTCGTTGAGGCGGAGGTCGGCGCTGACGACGGCGGGCAGGCTCACCTCGACCGTCTCCAGCCCCCCGTCTACCTCCCGTGTTACTGTCAGCTTACCGTCACCAGCAGGTATATGTTGTATTGTAACCGGGATCAAGCTGTACAGTTTTCCAAAGGTATGATTGTACCCAGTAAAGTTGTAGTTGCGCTTACTGTTATAAACTTTAAAATTTTAGGCATATATAATATAAAGATACAAGCAAGAGATAAGATAGAGATATATGCAAGAGATAAGATAGAGATATATGCAAGAGATAAGATAGAGATATATGCAAGAGACAAGATAGAGACATAAGCAACAGAAAAGATAGAAGACCTTTGATGCAAAGGTGGCTTGAGGATAGTCCAGGTTAGCTGCTGTTATCTAGGCGTTGGCTAGATAAAGGTGCTAGAAGAAAGCTTAAAAAAGATAGTAATTAGCTAGAGATAAGATAACACCTTAGAAGCATAAGTAGCCTGAGGCCAGTCAAGGTTAGCTGCCGTCATCTGAGCCATAGCGTTGGAGTTGGAATCATTGTCACTGGCTTGTTAGAGACAGGCTAATTATACTAGAAATAAACATAAAAGAACATAGCAATTATCTAGAGATAAGATGAGACCTTAGAAGCATAAGTAGCCTGAGGCCAGTCCAGATGAGCTGCCGTCATCTGAGCCGTAGCGTTAGAGTCGTCGTCGATGGCCTGCTTGCCGAGCAGCACCAGCGACGCTCCTTCCCTGCGAGCCAGCGCAGCCAACACCTTGCTTACCTGCGCTGGACCAAGGTTCTCGCAGTCCTGCTCAGTGTTTATCATTATTAGTATAATCAAGATGATAATATTGTTGATTATAAGAAATAAAGATGATAATATTGATGACTATAAGTAATACGGTATGTATATTAATATTGTTGACTATTAGTGACAATGATGATAATGTTGTTGATTATTAGTAATCAAGATGATAATATTGTTGATTATGATTAATCAAGATGATAATATTGTTGATTATTAGTAATCAAGGTGATAATATTGTTGGTTATTTACAATAAGGATGATAATATTGTTGATTATTAGAATTATATTAAAAATTATTATTAGAAATACATGATTATTAGAAATCATGATAATAAACTTTGTTGATTCTTGATACTTGAATCAAGATTCAAATAATCTAGATTATTTGCAATCAAAACATTAATGGAGATACATTACTGAAGGATTAACAGTCAATCTAATTGATAACTTGAGTAAAATTGTTTATCCTAAACACAAACAGAGATTATCAACAAACAAAACTAGGCATGCTAATATAATGAACAGGTCAGGCAGACACTTCTTGGAGCTCACGAGGAGTCTCCTGGGAGCAGAGGAAACTAGGGCAATACTGAGCAACTGTACTGTACTAAACTGTAGTTTACTGTACTGTATTGTAGTGTACTGTATTGTAGTGTACTGTATTGTAGTGTACTGTATTGTAGTGTACTGTATTGTACTATAGGGTACCTACTGTTTTATAATGTACTGTAGTAAAACTGTGCTGTAGTATACTGTGGTACAGTTCTGTAGTGTACTGTACTATACTGTTGTGGTACAGAACTTTATACTGTTACAAGACTAGCTGAAGAAATTAGAATTTGTCAATCCATGTTTCAATTTCTTCAGTGCGAATTTTAGTTTACCAATCCATTGTGTTTTTTTAATAGGATTCTGGACTGACAATGGAACCTGACTCCAAAACATTTTTTCTTGCAAAGAAATGGTGAATTTTACAACTATTTCCATTGAATTTAAGTTCATAAAGGAATTAAATTAATAAATTGTATTATTAACTGTAATTGGTCCTGTCTAAAGTCTTCAAGTCAACCTATAAAATTCTACCCCCTGCAGTCACTCAATTAAATTTGCATTTATATTTGATAATTAATCAATTAAATTTAATTAATTTAATTAAAGCAAATGCCAGACTGCTCTACCTTGGCTGGGACTTCCACGTGGATGGCTCTGTCGGCTCCCATGGCCAGGGCCGTACGCAGCGTCTCCTGTTGTATAGTAGAGTACTGTTGTGTACTGTAGAGTACTGTTGTGTACTGTAGAGTACTGTTGTGTACTGTAGAGTACTGTTGTGTACTGTAGAGTACTGTTGTGTACTGTAGAGTACTGTATTGTAGTGTACTCTGTACTGTACTGTAGTAAAACTGCACTGTAGTATGCTGTAGTACAGTTTTGAAGTGCACTGTACTGAAAACTGCACTGTAGTATGCTGTAGTACAGTTCCGAAGTGTACTGTACTGTAGTACATTACTGTGGTAGTACATTACTTTACTCTTACAAGATTAATTGAAGAAATTAGAATTCGTCAATCCATGTTTCAATTTCTTCACTGTGAATTTTAGTTCACCAATCTATCGTGTTTTTTATAGGATTTTGGACTGACAATGGAACATGACTCCAAAACGTTTTCTCATGTGAAGAAATGGTGAATTTTATGGCCATTTCCATTGAATTCAAGTTCTTAAGGGAATTAAATAACTAACTTTTATTAATAATTTCAATTAGTCCTGCCTCAAGGATTTAAGTCAACCTACAAAATTCTATTCCCTGCAGTCACTCAATTATATTTACATTTAGACTAAATAATTAATCAATTAAATTTAATTAATATAATTAAAGTGAATGCCAGGCTGCTCTACCTTGGCTGGGACTTCCACGTGGATGGCTCTGTCGGCTCCCATGGCCAGGGCCGTACGCAGCGTCTCCTGTTGAAGAAATATCCATTAATGATTTATTCAGACACTTTATCATAGCTCATCCTCTTATCAAATTAGTCTAGGAAAAAAGATTATGCAAATTTAATTGAAGACCAGAGCAAGCTTTTTATTAATGATCTTCTTGTTTGTTTTTTCAACGAGTGGAACAAAATTTCTTGCTGGCGGGAGATCAAAAAGCAGGTTGGCAAATGACATTTTAATGGATTGCGATGTTTTTAAAATACAAAGTAGATGATTAGTTGATTGGTATATTATTTAATAATTATATGATAGATCACTTCAATGGGTAATCTATCATACATATAAATGAAACTATACATATGGTTCCTAGCTTACTTTAATCAAATTCAAACTACTTATTTAGCACAGACTTGATTCGTTTTGATGAGTAATATGATGCATTTTCATCAACTACACATTTATACATATACAAATAGGATACATTGATGATCTGTTATGAGCAACAAGTGAAAAGAAGTATGGGAATTTATTAAAAGAAGCTAACTATTTCAGTGGGTGTGAAATTGCAGTTCACAATATTTATTCATAAAATTCATGTTCAAATTACCATTGAACTAGCTTTTAAACCCTTATCTACCCCTATACCATAGTGATGTATATCTGAATAATAATTCTACATTGTAGGAAGTGAATATTGTTGGAATCTTTAAAGAAAATCTCATCATGACACGGCAATGACTTCGCTGGCCTTCTTGGCCTCCTTCATCCTGATGGCCTCCTCGACAGCGATCTCATCAAACGGGTTCATCGAGTGCTTCACTCCCTCCGTCACCACCCCCATCTTGTCGGGGCGCACTCGGATCTGAAAAAATATAACTTAGTACTCACTGCAGTGAGTTTCAGAGAGCGCATTTTCTCGTCGACAAAAACTTGAAGTCACGGACGGACAGACTGAAGGACATGGCAAGCACAATAGTGCATTTTTTCCATAAATGAGAAAATGCACTGAAAATTACATCTTCAGCGACCGCCCTCCTTAGCAGTGCAAAATACTGCCTAGCATCAATACCATATTGCTGAAATTAATTTATTTATTGAATACAAATTTATGCGCCATCTTGACAGGCAATCAATGTCCACCTGGTCATAACAAAGCGTAAAATTAAAGGCTTCCCAATTGTCAATGGCTAGAAAATTAGAATTTTTTCAATTAATCCATTTTTAATTAATTTAATTTTAATTTTTAAAATTAGAAAATTAGAATTTACAAGAAGAAAAAAAAAACACTATTTTGAAAAGCAACCTATGTACAGCTAGATGCTAACTGGTTAAAGCAATAAACCTCAACATAAATTCCTAATTATCTCAACATAATTCTATTTTGATGAATTTGGTCAATGTGTCAAACATCTCAGGTTTTTAGCCCAAGAATGTTGCCCAGATTACTGAAGATTTGTTCACAATTATTTTGGTTTTGATTTTTTCGCCCAAAAAATGAATACAAATGACAAAATACAATTTAAAGACATTAATTTGTAATGACAAGACCTAAAATTGAAGCAGGAGCCTCTGACAGAAAGCAGGCTTTGGACACCACAGCTCTTAACCCAATTATATATGGTACATATATAAATAAATTAATATCTGCATATAGATATACCTATATATAACAAGAAGATGCAGAAGCCTGGTGTGTCACAGATGAATTTTAAATACTGGCATACTTTATGTAACCTGTCCCAGTGTCCCTGGCCAATTTTTTTTATAATTTTCTAATGAATGCAGGAAAAAAAATCACATTCAAAAATGTGATTTGGTCCCAATTTTTATAAGAGAAATTAGGCTAGGTAATTACAATGGGCAGGATCAACCTCAAGGGTGAGCGTTTTTTCTTACTCATGTGTGGCTTCTGACAATTTTCCAGTTACATGCGTGCCTCTCGGCAGAATTGGAATTTTCCCAATTATATCACAAATATTGCAGCCAAAAAAACGACAGATTTTTCAAAATATTCAGAATCAAGCCACCTGATTGTATACATTTATTAACATTCATACAAGGGGTAGTCTGTCTAGCGGGAACTTTGCTGTTCCGTTAATAGCAGGGAAGCACTAGTTGCGGTTCAAATGGTAGACATGTTCCTAGTTTCTCCTTGCAATGGTAGTATGGATGAAATTAGCCTTCAGATGAAGTTTTCCTATTAAAATCCCTTGGCTTGCACCTAACTGGGAAATAAGGCTGATGCCATCAGACTGTTTAAATTACAAGTTTATCAAAAATTTGCAAATTTTAGATCTGCAAATTTTAGAGTGCCTTTATATTTTTAAACAAAAGCCTATTTTAAATGCCGCTAACAGCTCATATCCCCTCGAAATTGTAAATAGATAGATTTGTGCCCGTGTTTGCTCTATTCTCGTTTGTTTCTCATTTGACAATTTATGCTTCAAAGTGAATTTATTGCTAATTGTTTGTACCTGTGTTTTGAGGGAGAGTCTAAAAAACTCTTTGCTTTGCCACTATGCCTATAGGACTCAAAAATTAACTTGAGCCTTTGAGGGAGAGTCAAAAAAACTCTCTGCTTTGTCAGTTTTGTCACTATGATTAATTTCTGATATTTGAGAATCTGGATTGTCAAGATTCCTCCTTTAGGCTGCTTACAAGTTACAGAATATTATTGATCTTTCATTTCAATTCCCTAGTAGAAGAATAATCTAAAATAAAAACTAAAGATATATTATTATAACATTTACTCAAATTAAGCAATTTTTTAGCAAAAATATTTTTGAATAAAGTTCAAGTTTTAAACTTTGTGAATTGTGACCATGATTCTGAATAAAAATTCTGAGTGATGTGTTGCAAATTGAAATTACCTAGGCCTATCATGTCAATAATTGAAATTATTGAATAATAAGGACATGATTTCACCAATTCAGAGCACAATAATTAGAATTTAGAGCATAAAAAGTACTACTAAAAATTAAAGATAATTTTGTCATTTATAAAGTTGAGACTTTAAATTTCTTCATCAAGTATTTTGAATCATAATTAGAAATCTTTCCCAGTTTAAATTTGTGATCTCATACTCATAGGCTTTCTATTTTCAATCAATTATTATTTAAATATTGACAAAAAATGTTTCTATGGGTACAATTGCAACGACATAATTTAATATTAGATTTTATTAAGCTTACTTTGACCGCATAGTCGATAACCCTCTTGCAGCCAACTAGGATTTTCATAGACATGACGACGCTCGACTTGTGAACCGGTGAACCAAACTGTTCAGAAGTTCCGATGAGCTCTCACGTCTCAGCTGTCAAATCATGCCGAAAACTTCAAGGACTAATCCGCTAAATTCTCAAATATATACTGTCATGTTTTTCAGTCTAAGGTACCTATAGTTCACCCCTTGATGCTTTTCCAGGCTTTGACAGCAGTCCAAGCTCCTGGCATTTCCTTTGCTATAGAACATAGAGCCAAGGCAAGATTATCTCTGAGGCTTTGCTAGAGCAAGATTGTCTCTGAGTCTTTGCTAGAGCAAGATTGTCTCTGTCCTGACCCAGACAATAAAATGTCCTTGACTAATACTAATTTTTGCTGATAATTTTTTCACAAGTTTGAGGTATATGTGGTATATGTAAGCAACTAATTACATGTGGCATGGATGTGGGTGTGACTATCAGAAAACTTAAGATCTGTCCCTGACTTCAGGATGAAGCTGTTTATGCTCTTCCCAAAACAAGTATAACTCAAGGTACAAAGAGTCTCACTGCTAATCAACATAATCCTGAATCGTCTCACCCTACACTTCTAAAGCTGGAAAGAAGACATGAAAATCCATTTTTACACATCATAATACCTTGCCCTTCATAGTAGAACTCTTCTAGTTACATATGCAAATGACAAATTGGAGGAAAGTGTCATAGTTTGCAAATGGGGGGTGCCGCCCCTGAATGGGGAAACTTAGGCCACCTAATGTCAGCCGTGATGGGGTAATATTGACCGGCTTGGAAATTAAGTCAAAACTACCGTATATAAGACTCTGTAGAGTCTGAAACATAAAGAAAAAACATTAATAGGTGTATCAAACTAATTTCCAAGCTGGTCTATGTTACCCTGTCAGGGCTGACATTAGGTGGTCTAAGTTTCCCCATTCAGGGGCAGCACCCTCCATTTGCAAACTATGACACTTTCCTCAAATTTGTCATTTGCATATGTAACTAGAAGAATTCTACTACAATGCACCAAAACCTGGAGTTATTTTACCAAAAAATAAAAAAATTGGAGGGGGTTCTATGACAGGCTTTAAATAATAGCTCTTTTTTTGTGGGTCACATTCTTCATTTTTTTAACCTATTAGATGTGCATACTTTTTTTAACTTTCTATTGCATTACATAGCCTCAGTATTAGGCCTTTAATGCCCATTGACAAAATTTTTCTATGTCAAATAGTTTTTGAGTTTTGAGGGTTTTTGTTAAAAAAACTAATGGTGGTCTAAGTTACCCCAGGAGTCTAAGTAACCCCTTCTATGGTACTACTATCAAAGATCAAATATCACAATTTCATTATATTTCTGTTTCCGCTTGGGAAAGGGTTAATCATTTTAATGTTTTGCCAAAGAAAGACATGAAAAAAATGAGCCAAAATGATAAATTAGGCTGGAGCCTGAGAGCCACCCATGGTGCAGAGGGTGCAAGCAGTGTTGCCAATATATGAATTTTTAGCCAAAAGAGTTGCCAGCCACTTCCAAGATGCGTCACTGGGTAATTTTAATAAGAAAATGCTGCTAAAAACTTTGATAGTACATCCCTTACTCTCCACATACTGCAACACTTATACAGCAATCCCTTGATTAACGCGGTTAATAAATCCCCGAGTTTTACCGTGTTAAGCAAAACCGCGCTAATCAAACTTAAGAATATATGGGAATAATTATAATGAATCCTCAAAAATAGCAAAGGAAAGGAAAATTATGTAGTTTCATAAAAGTGAGCAGTAGATATGGCAGCAACCTTGACGGTTTGACCAGTTGAAGGCTAACGAGTAACTAGCCCTTTACGCACTGAATTATGTTTCGAAAGTGAAAAAACAATCTGAATTACTTTTCAGATCACGCGCAGTCTTTGTGTTAAACTGGCAGTAGCGACGCGCCTACTCCATCGAACGTCGTTCGAACGAGTTCACAACATGTGACGCTACCGTCACACTCGCGGCTAGACTCCAAACATGTAATTACTCTCGGTAGAAGCTTTTATTTTCTGTGTGACGAATTCGTCACACCAGGGCTTAAAGGGCTAGAGCACTGGCATGGCACACTTACCGGCGAACGTTGCCGAACTCGATCATTCGAGTTATGAACGAGACAAGGCGCGGTTAAACCGACTCTGTAGTCAGCACGAGTGCCTACGGTACGGGACCTTATTTAAAAAAATATTGGCTGAAATTCATAAAGTAACAACATTTGGCGAATTTTTCCAAAAGTCGTAACAAAAGTAACAACATAAGATCTAATAAGCAAAAAATTAACACTTGTGTTACGAACGTAACACCTCTGGCTAGAGGTGGGAAAATGATGAGTTGTGAAAAAAAGTCGCACTAATCAAAACTGGCACCGCGTAGATTAAGGGTAGGTCGCACAATTTTTTTCCGCGTTAATCAAAACCGCAGTATTCAAAACCGTGCTAATCAAGGGATTGCTGTAACTCAATACATATAACTTGGCAGCTATTTGGCAGCCAGATGTGTGACGCCATCCATTGAGAGAGCGGCAAAGTAGTGAGGCTTGACACAATTCTGCCACCCAGACCCCCAAGAGATGGCGCTGTGCTCATATCAACAATGCTATCGTGAATCCTACATCCTAGCAACTGTTGCTTAGCACCAGGATTGAAATTTTCCTACTTGTTTCTGAAATCTTGCGGCTCCAACATTACAAATTTGTAATATATTTGGAATCTCGCGGCCCATTTCTTCACTTTTGTTAACAATTAGATAGGAATTAATTCATCTGGCGGGAATCTTGCAGTTCCGGAAATGGCAAGATGGCAAGAAACCTCTAGTTGCAGCCTCTTGATGCCTCTGTACCAAAAACATTCAATTTATTGGAACCTAATACACATGTAAGGCAACAAGTTTATATACCAATTTGTCATTCATAGTACCGGGTACATTTATACTAAACCATGAATAACAATACCTCAATATAAATTAAAGACTGCCACTCAATATTTTTAAATAAATGAAAAAATCAAATAAATCAAAAAATTGAAAGAATCAAAAAATCATGATTTTTTTATAAAAAAATCAAGTGATTTAATCACATGATTTAATCATTTTGATTTAATCATTGCCAACCCTGCTACTAGTCAGTGTGTTTAGAGGGTAGAGTCTGGTAGATTTATGGGACATAAAACTACCGTCAACCGGGGCTACTTGGGACTGGCGGGGCTACTCGGGACAGTCCTCCGACACGGCGTAAAACTGTTATAGTAGCAAAACTAATTGGAATATTGCAAAACTAAATATAGTGGCGTAAACGTCAACATTTTTCCAGTCTATGTAGTATAAAGGAAGTCGAAAAATACTACATTTACTAGCTATGAAAAATTCCTGAAAAAAATGGTGAAAAACACTATTTTGAAAAGTTACTTCTGCTAAGGTCTGTATCCAAAAAAATAAAAAAATATTCACCATATTAAAAAATTTTACTTACATAAAAGATGCACCCAGGTGGCACCTTACGAATGGCATATGGAATTTTTTTGAAGATGCCATTTGATAGCCCTCGCAAAGAGCTATAAAATGAGCCTAAACTTGTTTATGAAATGTTTCATGGTAAGAAGTTATTAACAAAAAATGCTCAAAACTGTCCCGAGTAGCCCTGGTTGAGGGTAATTCATCTGGCAGGAGTCTTGCAGTTCCGGAAATGGCAGGAAACCTCTAGTCGCGGCCCTAAAGGTAGATGTTATCCACGCTTGCTTAGCACTAGAATTATAGTTCTCGTTATTCACTGCATCTGCTGCCTGCAGTAATTCAGATTTTCAACTATTTTCTAAATAGTTTGCCGAAGAATGCCAAATATATAAAATGCAATAATTTTAATCCAAATGTTTTGGCAAGATCTCCTGAAAAAGCTTACATTTTTCTGCTGATGCGTCACCAAAGATCTTGCAATATTCACCCACTTTCTGCACCCTGGGGAGCCACCCACGACTCAGAAAAAAATGCCCATGATTTGGCCAATTTTGAAAGTATAGCCAAATTATTAATTATTTTTTTGATAAAAAAAAAACAGTTTTTTTTCATTACATCATTTGCTTCTGCTATTTTAAAAAAATTTCCCATGAAATAATCATTTTTAGGTAGGTACCCACAATTTTAGAGAAGTTCCTTCAACTTCCATGACTTCCATCTGATTATACATAGGTGCATTTTACCCTACTCCTAGTGACAAACCAGAAATTTTTAGAATCAGTTCATTTTTAATATCCTAATTTTTCAAGATTTCAAACAATTTCTAATGTATGATAATGCTGGTATGTGGTATCCATGATACTTTCCTGGTCTACACCAACACCGTCTACTTAGCCTATAAGTATAGGACTCCAAAATTAACTTGAGCCTTTGAGGGAGAGTCAAAAAAACTCTCTGCTACTGCTTTATCACTATGAAATTTCTGATATTTGAGAATCTGGATTATTAAGATTCCTGCTTTAGGCTGCTTACAGAATATTATTGATCTTTCATTTCAATTCCCTAGTAAAAGAATAATCTAAAATAAAAACTAAAGATATAACATTTACTCAAAATAAGCAATTTTTGAGCAAAAATATTTTTGAATAAAGTTCAAGTTTTAAACTTTGTGAATTGTGACCATGATTCTGATTTCTGAATAAAAATTCTGAGTGATGAGTTGCAAATTGAAATTAGGCCTATCAAGTCAATAATTGAAATTATTGAATAATAAGGACATGATTTCACCAATTCAGAGCACAATACTAATTAGAATTTACAAGATTAAAAGTACTACCTACTAAAAATTAAAGATAATTTGGTCATTTATAAAGTTTAGACTTTAAATTTTTTCATCAAGTATTTTGAATCATAATTAGAATTTAGAAATTTTTCCCAGTTTAAATTTGTGATCTCATATCTATTTTTATTCAATTATTATTTAAATATTGACAAAAAATGTTTCTATGGGTACAATTGCAACGACATAATTTAATATTAGATTTTATTACGCTTACTTTGACCGCATAGTCGATAACCCTCTTGCAGCCAACTAGGATTTTCATAGACATGACGACGCTCGACATGTGAACC